CGAAATACCAAATTCACAATGTCTCTGGCTAGCTGTTCATGACAACAATGAGTATTTAGCATTTTTTGATTTTGCCAATTGCTTGTTACCTCCTCTTAACTAATCAAAATGCATGTTAGACGCCAAATTTGCTTTTAATGTATTTTTCTAAACCCGAAACTTGCTTTTTGTGGTTAATCTCATAAATGCATTAACAAAATATGACGAAAAAGCAAAAATAAATCTGGAACTCCAAATATTTGATAAATAATTATATAATCTCCGACTAGCTGGGGAGTATATTGGCATAAAGTGGTAATTATGAAAGGCTCTGTACAGGATTACATTCAGAATTATATTGTATATTTGTTCAATGACACACATAAAAGAGAAATCTTGAAAGGAGGTTGTGTCAGAACATGATAGTTTATTTATACAACAAGTGGAAAACTAAATCACCATCTTGATTGCCAGACAAGGCAGCAGTGGAGATTTAAAACACTTTTCCCACATTTTATGTGTAATTCTACCTATCCATAGGAGCACTGACTAGCCTGTGAGTCTGATATTAAGAAGCAGAAGGTACAGTATTTGGCATAAAGCAACATATATAACTTATATATAAATATATAACAATACTTTTTTTTAAAAAATCTGGAACATTCTTTCACCCCAAAATTAATTTAGAAGTGTACACAGTTGATAATATTCTCATCTGTCCTGTAGCTCAGTGGTTAGAGCACTCGCTTTGCAAGTGAGAGACCTGAGTTCAATTCCAGGCAGGGTGAAACCTTGGGCAAGTTTCCTTACTCCACACGCCTAATAATAATCCCTCCAAAACAAAAAACAATAATAAAAATTGGTCATTTTCAATCTACGACCGCTTGTGGGACATTGCTGTGCGCAATTGGCTGCCGCGTTCGCCCACAAATATACAGTCAATTCACTTTACAGTGTGTTCTGTGAAGCGCTTTGGGACGTCCTCCCAACGTGAAAAGTGCTATATCAAATGCAAGGATTATTATTATTATTATTATTATTATCTCTTGCATAAAGATCTCATGAAACTATTCAATAAGAGAATTAAATTTCTCCCAATCTTGGCCAACAATCCATTTAAAGTGGTCATTCACTTCATGAGTTCTGGTCCTTGTTATGTGAAAAATGGTTGTTCTGTTCGCTGAAAAATACAGTCTCAGTAATCCTTGCATTTGGTATGCAAGATTTTAGTTCAGACTCAGTTAATATACCGTTAAGGATACATAGTTTACACTTAATAGTAATGATCTGTTATAGGTGCTACATCAAAAACAAGGATGATTTGTATTAGTCTTTTATTCGCTAAAACTTTTGAGCCTAAAATGCTTGCAAATATAGAAAACTGGCTTTCAAAAACTGTATGGACAGGGGAGCTGGAACAAGCGAGATCAAAAAAATACAGTTCAGATATTTCAAGCATGTCAACCTGATGGGAGCAAATTAGATTATTGTACAAGCTATTAGTCCAAAGGATCATCAGGAACAATTCATTAAACAATGATTGATGAAAAATGATGAGATGAAAGGAGTCCTGGAAAACTGTACTGAAATTGTGGGAAGTGAGAAAGAAGATGATTGATTATAGAGTCTTATCAAGTCGAAATGTTTCAAAGCAATTCATAAGTTATTGCTCTCAAGTGCAGTGACTTTTTTGTAGACAAGCATGGTAGCCATTTGCACCAACAAGTAACACAAACATCCATGAAGTCAATGACCAATTAATTTGGGAGATTGTGAATATGTGGATGACCTTTCATATTTCTTAACATGAAGCTTTAATGCTAGGAATTTCTTAAGATAATTAGAGTACATCCCAGATTTAATTTTTGCAGCACTAGCTAGTCTGCTCACATGAAAATACTGTACACTAATTCATAAAGTTCCAAACTTTATTAATAAGTAGACAACTTTCTTGAAAAGTGATGAAAATTATAAAATAAAAACACCTTGAATTTTCTGACTATTCTACTTTAAATGAGATCCCTCATTTAAGCATTCTGGCCACAAGTGAGTTCTACAATATGCATTGAATGGCCCCATCTTAATAAACAAATCCGATAAAATCACTGCTCTATGATTAATTTTTTTGTGGTTCTTATACAGTTCTTATACAGGTTACATGAGGTATTACATAAGATAAGATTTGCTTTATTTTATAACCACAGCAAGTTTGTTCCATTTGTTTTGATAAAGTAGTATCATTTTTATATAGTAATTTACATTACAATTTTAGAGAATTTACTGTATTTTGCTTAGATATGCAACAATTGATAAATAATAATCGGACAATGAAAAGACAAACTTCATCAATACATTATACAACAACAGCAACAAAATTAAATTTGTAGAGCACCTTTCACATCGGGAGGATGTCCCAAAGTGCTGAACAGTCAGGTATCGGGGCCCGAGCATGGGGGTGGTGTAGGGGTGAGGGAAGGCAGAGAGGTGGAAGGGCGACCAAAGGCACGATCAAAAAGTGTCTTGAGACCGGCCTTGAAGGAGGCAAGAGAGGAAGCGAGGCGAAGGGACCATGGGAGTTCCAGTGTGTGGAGCCTGATATGCGAGAGTCCACGAGCTGCAGAGTTTTGGATGATCTGCAGTCTGTGAAGGGAAGAGTTGGGAAGGCTGATGAGGAAGGAGTTTCCATAATCGAGCCTTGATGTGACGAATGCATGATTTATTTTAAAAATAATAAAAAAAAACATAATTTATTTCAAAAATATTGAAAACTTAGCCAAGATAAATAACAATTCACATTTTTTAAAGTTTACAAATAATGTTATTCTCCCTTACCCTTTGTTAAGTTATGCTCTTTTAAACAAATCCTCTTTATGATGAGTGGTGGGAGAGCCGTTATATTTCAATAAGAAAAGTGATTGAAAGCAGCACAAAAAAATGCTCGCTTATTTAAAACCCCTAATGGTGAATCTATATAGTCACACACTATATTCTGAGGCTTATATTCAAGATTTTAAACAAATCATAGAATCATAGAATTATACAGCAACAGAAGGAGGCAATTTGGCCCATCGTGTCTGTGCCAGCTCTTTTAAAAGGGCTAAATGTTTACCTTTCCAATTCATTTTAGGTACTTGTGTTGTTTTGGAATATTCTGCAGGTTGGTGGCAAATGTGCAATGCGGGGATTAACTCTTGTTTTTTTACAATTCACAGGGAATATAATGCCAAAAGGGGATTAGGTATTTTGAGGCAACAATGAGAATATTAATAGCAAAGCACAAGAAATCACATCACCACCAATAATCCCGACTGCTCGCTTGCCTCAAAATACATCTCAAATGCCGAAATAGCACAACACAGTCGTTGTGCAATGTATTTCAGGCAATGAAGTCATTATTGGCACTACCGTTTTGGCTCCAGGACAAAAAATATTTTTTTGGAAAAAAAGTGGTCTTTAATAATAACTATGCTGCTTTTAGCTATATAGTAAGCTGTATGCAAAATGTCATGCCCAGTACATTTCCAGAGATCATATTAACATTTATTTTCAGGGAGCAGGTTTGCTGCTACAGTAACAGTATGGGTTATTTCTGTGATCTGAAACAATTGGCCCAGAAGCAATATGGCAACCACCATTGATTATCATAGACACAGCCACCTTGACATAAAATAACATGCTTCTTTATAGTCACTGTAGCTCAGCAAACTTATACCAGGCCACGTAAAATATGTGCTCTTAGTATTTTATCAGTAAATTAAGGGCATAACTTTAGGATTATTTAGGATCAAAATAACAAGAGGTTGGAGGATTTTTGTTTACACGGTTATTACGACACAGAATGCCCTAACAAAACTGGGGTTTAAGCAGAATCCATAATATCTTTTAAAAGGGAATTAAAGAAATATTTAAAAAGGTATAAAAGGGAGTGGAAAATGTTAGGGGAGTGGGACTGAGTAGATTGCACGGTCAGAGAGCCAGCAGACATAACGGATCAAATGGCCTCCTTCTGTGCTGTAAATCTATAATTCTATTGTTCTGGAAATCTGGCGATAATCTGGCGACAAAACCACCTTTGATGATGTACCATTATAATGGGGGTATCCCATTAGCAGCTGACATCGCCAAAGGCACTGTGAGCAAAGCTGATCGGAATTTCAGCCCACAAGTGAAATCCAGTCTTGCTGCTTGCTTTTCATTCCTTCAACAATTTTCCTATCCTATTCCCCTTTATCTTCTACTTATCACAAGTCACTTTCAAGTCAAATTTATCTACTTTGTCTTCCAAATTTCACCTTTTCATATATTGATATATCCAGGGCACTCCTGATATCAGACCAGCAAGGTCAGCTCATCGGCTGGAAGTGGAGGGGCAGCCTGGGAGCAGGGATTCTTTCCTTTCAGCTCCCATTAACCTTGCAAGCCAAAGCTCTAAGCTACCCAGACTGTGCTCTCAATGGCAAGCTATAGTTTTAGCTGGTTAAACTCAAGCAGTACCCCAATGCACACTTTGAGATCCCCAAACCTTGATTTTTGCCAACTTGTGCCTAATACTCTCTGGAATTACATAAACAGTGTCTCTCTCCAGGGGAGTGCACATTCCATTCCAGACACAGGCACATGTCCATGTGTGGGTGGCAAATATAGGTGGAACTCTGTTTGGTTTGGATATTCTTAAGCACGGTGATGGGTTTCCACATGTGTCAGCTGACCAGAAATAAATAATCTTTGGTGCCACCTCTGTTTCTTAGTATGGTGAAAGAACTCTTTGAAGGGGTCAACAGTAGGAGATCTTTCATGATTGCTCATAACATGAAATCCATAATAAACAAGTAATAAAAGTTTGCAACTGCTAGAAATCTGCACAGAAAAGATTCAGCCCTAGCATACTAAATTAAACAATTCTAGAACTGCTAAAAAGGGTAACACTTTCAGCTGTGGACCATGTATGGGTTAGTCTAGTCTATGTGAAAGTGTTTTATACCCTTCACAACTTGCAAAAGTAAGGGAAATATACAAACTGATTTCCATTGTAAAAAAATGTTTAATATCTTATGAAAAAGAACCATGACAGAAAGGCACACAAGAATTTAATCACGAGAAAAGGCAATTCAGCTCATTTTGTTATTCAAGCAGCATTTGAGGCAGATGTCTTTGCCTCTTAACTATTATCAGTAAAAATAAATTACACAACAAATATAGTGCACGGCAATCTTAAAATTTCAAGATGGCAGTGAGGCGTATTAAACATTACAAAGTATTTAGAAAGGTATTAACAGTATAAACTAATGCAATTTATAATCTATTAAAATAATGTTCATTCTCTCCCCCTCCCAACCTCATGAAAGGTAAAAGTCTAAATTTACTTTTGAACTCTTGCCATATCACAACTCCAAAAAATCACCATCACCTACTAAGTTCAGTAAGAAACTGAGAATTTGGCAAAATTATTAAATCATAATCAGAACTAACAGTGTTTCGAGGATATGCAAAGATAATTGGAAGGATAGTAAATAAGTTATGTGTATTTTGAAAGATGACTGAGAAAAAATGAACAGTAACTTTAGTATTTTAGACTTGATAAGAGCCAATTCCACCCATCACTTCATTCTATGTAGCAACAGAGCTCGTTGTAAGAAATCTATTCAAGCAGGCATTGCAGTAATGTGTAAAGGTTTTCATGAACGTAAGCATAATTGATCAAACAGTTTGTTTTGGATAGCAATGTTTGTCTTGGAAGAGACCCTCCAAGTGATCAATCCACTTTATGTCCCCAAAGTTCACTTGATATGAAGGTTATTTTAAGAGCACGTTTATTAAGGTGGAATACTTAATAATATATAATTGTAGGGAGAAAAGGAGAAAATGATACATTTCAAGAAAAGTACAACATAAACATATAATGAAGTGTTTTACTAAAATGTTTCATTACATTTGAATCTTTTGTTTAAAAAAAACATTTCGGCTATCATCTATATAGCCATGTCTCCATTCATCCGTTATAAATGTTGATCCTTGAAACATGAGCTAATGAATGGATTACAAACATAATTAAATGCATACATACAAGGTCCACCAGAACTATTTTTGTTCAGATTGAATGGTATTATTGTTTATCATTAGGTAATTTCTGTAAAATCCATGACTTCAGCTGTTCCAACTCTGGTTTGCAGAGTTCATGATACAGATTAGGGAAACTATTAAATGTGGTTTTCACTCCCAGTGACTGTAAATTTGAACAAGTCTCTGTACCCCACTCATACAACACTAGTGGGTCAGTTTTCCCATGACACTGGAACAATTCAGGCATTGAGGTTTTAGCATTCTGGACAGCCTGGAGATAAAAAGTAAATTATTGTACACATGGCACACATATTGTATATATATTTTGAACTTAAAATATACTGCTATTTTTGTTTCACATGTTACAATATATAAAGATCAAAATAAATATATTTTATAATAACACTTTGTGAAACACTAAAATAGAAACTCAATCTAGATATTCAAATAGATCTATCTATTCAATCTAGATATTCTTGGAAATGGAATTTGTTTTGCTTACACGAATATGGCAGATTTACTGAATAGACTGGTTTAGATATAAATCATCCACATGTATATGCTTCTGTAAACACTGAAGATATTCTAAGATGTAGTCAGCCATAGGCTACAATAATATATTGTATCCAGTAACCAGAAAAGCAGCATTACCTGTCCTTGATATGGTATTATATTTCATCTGCTAGATACTATTCTCCACGGTGGATGATTGAGGTGAGGGGGGTGGGTGATAGAGAAGATGGATGCCTAAGAGATTTTACTTTTTGAATTAAGGGGAGACCTATGCAATCTCTCCCAACATCATATTACAGACCCATTGATGTTATTGGATGGAGGCACACTGCAGTGTCATCTATGGTAAAATAATTAAATAAACTAGTTGTCAAAATTAAAAAAAGCCCAAATATTTGAAGTTGAAATTTAAAACTAATGATAAAAAAAGTGGGAGAAACGTATAAAGCAGGTAAATTACAATGAAAGAGTGAGAAAAACTGTATCAAAGAAATATTTATCGTGCTTTGCCTTCAGCCACTACACCCCAAGACTCTGGAACTCTCTCCCTCAATCCCTCCACCTTGCACCCTCTCTCCCCACATTCAAGTCCCACCTAAAGACATTCCTTTTCGATCGGGCTTATGGCACCTCCCACCTCTCTCTCCCGCTGGCTCAGGGTCAGACACTGCCACTGTCAAGCGCTCCGGGACGGTACCCCACGTGAAGGGGGCTATATAAATGCCTGTTGTTACTGTATTTATATTCTTCCTTGATTACTCATTTCTTAAATTACAGTTTAATACTATCACACCAAAAATGGTGTTTAATGTTGATGTATGTCACAATGACGGTACACTCCTGAGAATTTTGAATAATATGAGGAGTATAATTCAAGTGATGACTGCCACATTATAACAATGATTTCTAACACATATTCTGCAACACATCCAACACAATTGCCTTATGATGGGAGTGCTTATGTTTATTTCCAAATGGAGCTATTTTTTTACTGTTAAGTATAGTGACTATACATTTGTAGCGCGAACACTGCACCCAATTTGCTTCCAGTAGTACTCCACAAACTGTCATGAAGTGAGTGACCAATTTGATCTGGGGGATTGTTGGCCAGGACACCAGGAGAAATTCTCTTCTCTAAAGTGTCTACATTTGGAGGAATGAAATGGAAGAATATTGGCACCATAATCTCTAGAGATAGATGGAAATGAAATACTGATTAACTTATTACTACTGGCACATAGTAAAAATTAAGTAAACAACCTCTTGAAAGTGCTCTTGCTTACTCCAGTGCTGCCAGTTTTACACTATCCTTCTGAATAAGCCAAAAAGTTCAGTTCCATGCCAAAAGTTGTAGTATGGAGGCTACATAAAAATTACGACAAAAAAATGTAATTTTATGTCGTAAGGATAATGTAGGATATGTCAAGACTTTAACTACTGTAAAAAGTTAAATCTTAAGGAGAATTCTGGGCTGCAGTGCCAAGTCTGCTGCGGAGAATTTAACACTGAGACAGCGTTGAGCGCTTACGTGCAGACTCACGGGATGAAGTTTATCATGTCCCAGCAGAACGGAGGAGCGCAGCAATGACTGCAGCGTGTGTAAGAGAAGCTTCTTAATCCTTCTTCATCCCGAGTGGCTCCGGGGCGACCTGAGGGGGCTGCCTGCGTTCATGGATCCATAAGATGGTAACTTTATTTTTAAACAACAAGTGATACTCGTTGAAAATCAGTGGGCCAGGCACCCGCTCTCCCAGTCCTTGAACCCACCTGTGTGTTTTGTTAAATGAAAGGAACTCTTGTGTCAAAGCTGTTAAGTGTTGGTTTGGGACAACCCAATACATAGGGAAAGTAAACCAGGCGAAACTTCCTGGGTCTCCCTGCCTGAACAAGGTTTGTAATGAGTTACTCTTAGGTCCCAGTGACCCACAGTCTCTCATTGTGAGCTCGCCAACCGGCTTCCGGTTCCCCTTGGCCACACGCTCATATTTAACTTGAGGGCATTTGTGGAGTCCTGCAGCTTAGTGGTTAGAGCACTCGCCTCACAAGTGAGAGGACCTGGCTTCGATTCCCAGCAGGGCAAAACAAACGTTGGGTAAGTTTCCTTACTCCACACGCCTCTGTTTACCTAGCAGTAAGTAGGAACCTGGTTGTTAGTCCATTGGCGGATCGCTTTACCGCGGATAATAATTCCTTCAAAATAAACCCAAAAAATAATTTGGTCACTCAAGCCACGACTATTTGTGGGACAATTGCTATGCGCAATTGGCTACCGCGTTTCGCCCACAAAATATACAGTAAATCCATTTTACAGTATATTCGGTGAAGCGCTTTGAGATGTCTCGAAGACGTCATAAATATATCAAATGCAAGGCTTTTCATTATTATTATTACTATCTAACTACGTTAAAGAAGTTAAACTTGGCACTGACATTATTTATAATGTGAAAATGCATTAACAAAGTAAACTATCTAACAGCCATTATGATTTGGAAATATGCCTGTGCACATTTTGGAATCTATACGGATTTGAAGTGGTTTCAAATAAGCTGAAACAATTTATAATTACATTTTTTTGGTGGGGAGGAAGGGATTATGACTTACCTGGTAGACAACAGAATTGTTGTTCAAGAAACTAGACAACGCAAAAACTCCTGCAACTTGCTGATGGAACCTATATGCCAAGTGCATGGCCATACATCCTCCCATTGAAAATCCCCCTGCAAAAAAAAATAACATCAATTTAACATTTTCTCTTCTGGGCTACAAGTCATAACATTAACATTATTCCATTTTGTAGATAATAATAGTTACACAAATATAAGTTTTATTAATTACTTGAACTATAATGGTCTTGTTAGTTTCAATTTGGCATTATCTGGGAAAGTAGGTAACATCCAAATATATTGTTCAATCAATCATTTTCATAATCCCATTTAATTTGCAGCTTTGCCTGTTGTCCTCCTGCCAAACACAGACAGCAATAAATATTGATTTCAGTTCACTTGAATTCTATCACTTTCTTTTTCCTTTAGTTTTCAATTACTTTTAGCTTTGGCAGTTTATAGATTTGGCAGAAAGAGCCCTCCCCAAACTATTGCCTAGTCTTTTAATGTTTCGCAAAGTTTGAGTGATTTATAAATCATCACGTCTCTTCCTGCACTGGTATGATACACAAGATGATACTCCCTTTTTTAAAAGATTGCTTCGTGCATCCCATACCTACAATGGCATGAACTATTCCAACTGCTCACTGTTGTAATCCAGTAGCACTCTTGTGAAATTTAAATACAAAAATAAAAAAACATACCATTGTATCTTGAACAAAAGTGATTAGATCTTTATGGAGTTGAGAGTCTTAAAGAGTTCAACAATAATAATAATAATAATAATAATAATCCTTGCATTTGATATAGCGCTTTTCACGTATTCTAGACATCCCAAAGCGCTTCACAGAATATACTGTAAAGTGAATTGACTGTATATTTGTGGGCGAACGCGGCAGCCAATTGCGCACAGCAATGTCCCACAAACAGTCATGGATTGAAAAAGACCAATTTATTATTGTTTTTTGTTTTGGAGGGATTATTATTAGGCGTGTGGAGTAAGGAAACTTGCCCAAGGTTTCGCCCTGCCTGGAATTGAACTCAGGTCTCTCACTTGCAAAGCGAGTGCTCTAACCACTGAGCTACAATATTTTTGATGTAAAAAAAGTCTCAAAGTATAAAAAATGAAGAGCAATCAGAAATAAAGTGAATGTTATGTAGGGAAAAAAAGATGTAAAGCAGTGTATCTAAATCTTTGAGCAACATTAAAATGTAATCCAAGCAATGTTTTAGGGAAGGCATATAAAATGCAATAAACAAGCAAGTTCACAGAATTAACATTTTCTGGGCAGAAATTCTAGCAAAATAAGCACACTTCTAAAAATACATATCAAATCATATAATTATATTTTTATTACTTTTGAAAATAATACATTCAAAGAGCTAAACTAAAGTTCCCATAAGAACCAATGCAATTTTAGCAACAATACTTTTAAATGACTTTTTATGAGGTAAATTACTAAACCTAGTTTGTCACATGCTGGCAGGGTTCCCTGCATTTACTCATGATGGCATCTTTTTATAGATATAAGCAGCAGGAGATTTAAATACCAATGTAATTACACATTTTACATGCTTGATACATTTGTTTTCTTTTTTAAAATTACACCATACAAAGGTTTAGTCTCTTTGATTTGCATTTCCATGGAAAAATCCTGCAATTTGTCTGTCAGTGCCACAAATGGCTTCTAGGTGATTACTGCTAATTGCAATACTCTGGGTGATCTCACCCTATATGCTTGATGACAAACTGCTCTTATCTGACAACCTGGATAATGTTTCAATGCAACCTAATGTTAACACATTAATTTCAATTTACTGTACAGCTTTAATTATTTCAATCTCAGATTTCTCAAGTTATGTCATCAGTCTCTTCAAATATGAAATACAAAAGCCTTCCTGTGTCATATGAGCAAGACAAGAGATATTTGATATCCATTAGTATCTAGCAAAGGCATTTCCTTTATGGTGACAGAAAGTGGATTTTAATCAGAAACCCAATAAACTTGCTGTGCATAACTGCCACTCTCGTTTTGTTTCCTTACGAGGCTCTTTACTGTCTGCGATCAAGTTTTTAATGTCACTTCAAAACCTTTGGTGTGAGGGAGCTTTATCCTTAAAAGGACGTGTATTCTACAAACTATCGCATAATCTTGCATGTTATAAAGATTTTCTGGTGTTAAAAGACCTGAGTGTTTAACAAAACTTGGAATCTCTTTCTGCTTCAGTTTCAATTCTCCACATCAGTTATCTGAAATAAACACAACGTTTAGCAGCAATCCCAGAATTTCAAACCCCTTCGGCTGATTTATAATGATAGCAAAAACAAAGTGAAGAGAACTGATATCAGTCCCTTTCTCAAGACAGAGAAGTACTGTATTTTCAGATGAGATTACAGATAACTTGATTTATACACTTTGTGACTTGATCTCCACCCTTTTATCAGCACAGCAGTCTTGTTTCTCAATCAGCTCAATAAACCGGCTATTACAATTTCGATAATCCTGTTTCTCATCCTGAAGAAGGATTATGATTAAAGCAATTATGCCATATTTGCTTTTGTTAATCACTGTTCACATACAAAGATTTTGACATTTTCCCTTAGTTTCCCAGGGTATTTTGTTCAAACAGGACAGACAAGATGAAGAACAGATCCAAAATAGCCATTTCTTACTTTTGCAGAATTTTTAATCACAGATTATTCAGGTACCCAGATAATGGGTCTTTGTTTTTTTTGCAGATCATTTTCTCTTACAACACAACCTTTAGATGAATGAATCTGGATTTTTTAAGGCATATATCTGATATTAATTCAAAGAGCAAGATTTTTGCTGCAAGCCATTTTTGTAGCACACAACCCCTCTAACCTTTAAACTGCAGTTCTGAAAGAAGTGCCTTTTTATTGCTATAACTAGGAGTTTGTATAAACTATGACTTTGCATCAGCATAAACATTTTGGTTGCTATTTTGGGTTGCAATTAATAATAATAATAATCCTTGCATTTGATATAGTGTCTTATCATGTCTTCGAGACGTCTCAAAGAGCTTCACAGAATATACTGTAAAGTGAATTGACTGTACATTTTGTTGGCAAAACGCAGCAGTCAATTGTGCTCAGCAGTGTCCCACAAACAGTCGTGTGAGTGACTTTTTTAAAATATTTTTCTTAAAGGGAATATTACCCTCGGAAAAGCGATCTGCCAATCGATTAACTTAATTCGTACTTCAGAACCCTACTTAGTAAAGGTTCCTACTTACTGCTAGGTAAGCAGAGGCATGTGGAGTATGGAAACTTGCCCAACATTTCGCTCTGCCCGGGAATCGAATCCAAGTTCTCTCGCTTGCGAGGCGAGTGCTCTGACGACTAAGCTACACAACCTGACTAACTTGAAACTGACTACGATATGGGAAAGCGTTGAACTAACTGGGGATGAGGATTGTTCTACTCTATAACAGCTTTCAATGCAGGACTTGTCAGTTCTTTTAACTTTGAAGGCAGTAGTTTTGCTACAAGAACTGAAAATTGAGCAATTATATTAGAAAATAATTTGCCTGTAGCTGTATCTCTTGGTAACAACTGTGGGACAGGAGAGCTGTTTTTTCTTTCTTTGTCTTGCTTCTTCTGGGTCATTTTACTGCAAGCTCATCCCAACTGAAAGATAATCTCAGCAGCTGTATCCTTTCAATAGCTGAATGCTATTAGGAAGGTCAAAGTAATACATCATTTAGCATTGGATACATTTGTCAGTATGAATTATTCTGACAAATGCACAGTTGCCAATGTAATCCTGAATTTAATACTAAACGCTTAAAGACTCACTGCTACTCATGCTGTTTGTGGAGTTTTCTAAAAGCAGAATAAAATACAAAATCGGATACTGTTGCTAACCAGATTTTTTTCCCACAAAAAACAAACTATTGGCTTCCTCTGAATAGGCAAATGAGTACTGTGTAACTGTATTGGTCCTAAGATTTGAGATGGAGATAGTGTTAGTATTCAGAGGGATTTAGGTGTTCTTGTACACCAATCACAGAAAGTTAATATGCAGGTACAGCAAGCAATTAGGAAGGTTAATAGCATGTTAGCGTTTATTGCAAAGGGGTTTGAGTATAAGAGTAGGAAAGTCTTACTGCAATTGTTTAGGGCCTTGGTAAGTCCGCACCAAGAATATTATGTGCAGTTTTGGTCTAGTTATCTAAGAAAGGATAACTACCTTAAAGGGGGTGCAACGTAGGCTAACAAGGTTGATTCCCGGGATAAGGGGGTTGACCTACGAGGAGAGGTTGAGTAGACTAGGCCTATATTCTCTAGAATATAGAAGAATTAGAGGTGATCTTATAAGATTTTTAAGGGTCTTGACAGGGTAGATAGTGTGAGACTGTTTCCCTTGGTTCATACTCCCGTAAATCCCCCTGGTACACCAGCCATCTCCATTCCCTCAAGGCACAAGTGTGAGCTGCCGAACGCACCTGGAACACCCAATTCCAAACTAACAGTCCATCGGCAGATTTGGCTTCACCATACCAAGACCTACTGCTGCGCTCTTGCCTCTGCCATATCCTCCTTCTACTCCAAGGTTATCTTGGAGGAAAAGGACAACCCCAGGCTTCTCTTTTCCACCACAATCCGTCTCCTCCGTCCACCTTCCCATACCTCACCCATCCTCTCCTCAAACTCCAACTGTGAAGAGATGCTGGACTTCCTCGAATCCAAAATCGAGGGGATACATTCAGCCACCTTTGCCCCGTCCACAGCCACTCCCATATCACCTCTCCCTCATGACTCACCCCCCACCTATTCCCCCCCATATTCCTTCAACCCTATCTCTCCCTCACCACGTGTCCGCAAACTCAAACCTACTACCTGCTCCCTCGATTCCATTCCCCTTGGTGATATCATCCGCAGACATGGGATCAACTTCCACATGTATGCGGATGACACTCAACTCTATCTTTCTGCCTCCACCCTCAACTCCAGGACCACTGCTGTCCTGACAGACTGCCTGTCGGACATCAGGTCCTGGATGAGGGCAAATTTCCTACAGTTGAATGTGAACAAGACTGAGGCCCTCCTGATTGGCTCGCGCCAGCGCCTCTGCACCTCAGGCTCTGGCAGCATCGACCTCCATGGTTGCACTCTTCAACTCACCAAGCCAGTCAGGACCCGAGGTGTCTTGTTCGACCCTCAACTGTCTTTTCTTCCCCACATTCAAGCCATGACCCGCTCTGCCTTCCCTCACCTCCGTACCATCGCCCGACTCCGCCGCTATCTCACCCCTCAGGCCGCTGAAACTCTTGTTCATGACTTCATCACCTCCAGGCTCGACTATGCAAACGCCCTGCTTGTCGGCCTTCCCAACACCTCCCTTCACAGGCTGCAGATAATCCAGAACTCTGCAGCTCATGTCCTCTCCTGCACCAAACTCCGTGACCCCATCTCCCCTACTCTCGCCCAACTCCATTGGCTCCCTATCCTTCAGAGGATCCAGTTCAAGATCCTGGTCCTCACCTACAAAGCCCTCCACGGCCTCGCCCCAGCCTACCTCTGCAACCTCCTAACCCCCTACCAACCCGCCCGCTCCCTTCACTCAGCCGGCTCTGGCCTGCTCCACGTCCCCCGACCCACCCGCCCTACCACTGGCGGGAGAGCCTTCAACACCTGCCCCCAACATCTGGAATGCCACCCCCCAATCACTCTGCCTCCTTAGCCTCCTTGAAGTCCCGCCTCAAGACCTTCCTCTTTGACCATGCCATCGGCCACCCCCCCCTTCCCCTCCCTTCTCCCTCCCTGACCCCAGCTCGGGTCTGAAATGCTGTACACTGTCCAGCGCTTTGGGACGTCCTCCCGACGTGAAAGGCTCTATACAAATGTAATTGTGTTGTTGTTGTTGTTGGTTAGAGAATCTAAAACTAGGGGTCATAGTCTCAGGATTAAAGGTCAGCCCTATTGAACTGAGTTGAGAAAACATTTCTTCACTCAGAGGGTAGTGAATTTATGGAATTCTCTACCCCAGAAGGCTGTGATGCTCAGTCATTGAACATATTCAAGACTAAGATCAATAGATTTTTAAAAACTAAAGGGATTAAGCAATTATGGGGTTAGGGCAGGTAAATGGAATTAGATTAGAAGAGCAGCCATGATCTTATTAAATAGCAGGGTAGGCTCGAGGGGCCAAATGGCCTACTCCTATTTCTTATGTTCTTATTCCAGTGAAATAAATATTTTCCACCAAATTGAAAAGAAGGGTTTTAGATTTCACCAGCATCAATGCTACATAAATGTAAGCAAGCACAGATGGTAATATACTAATTCAGTAATTAAGCATTTATGATGAAAAGTAACAATTCTCTTTCATACCTGAAAAGATTAAATGGTGATCAAAACATTCTAGGTAGGAAGAAGTGCAATCAAGTTGTTGCGAATATAGTACTGTGTGTATCATTATTTTTAGATGTTGGATTTGTGATACAGTCCAGTGACTGTATCATGATAAACATAACCGATGGAAGGATATCAGACAGAAAACAGGGGAACATGAGTAATTCTGATCTTCAGACTCTTGAATGTTTTTAAAATGTTTGAAAAACTGGTAACATTTTACCTATAATTATTCTCTCCTTTGGAATTCCTGCTTTGACTTCTTCTCCTACGAGACCATCCAATAGTTGGCACATTAAATCTATTGATGTTAGATGTTCTGGGCAGTTGTTGACAATTTTGGTCCTGTCAAACCACACAGTTGAAAGTGCTCCATTCATAGGAGTATACGGTCTGCAAAGCAATAAGGAAAATTTCAGCTTTCATTTCTCACATTTCTACACAACAAATTTGGGAAAGTAAAGAAAAGTTAGGAACAGTTATTTCAATTGTCATTGCTTTCCCAAACTAAATAATTTAATACTGTGTTATAATCTGCTTGAAAAGTAATTTGATAATTCAAACTGCTAAATGCATACTTGTAAGATCTCCTATTGAACAAGTTCCTAACCACGCTGTCATCTGGCAATTTAATTATCTTGTTCAGATTCTGCAAATTCAGTTCATTTCTGTATGCTAGGAATATAAGTTACCATCTTAGACCCCTCAATATATTGCGCCCTCAATCTTGCTCCTCTTATCACTACCTTCTGTTTCCTTCCTTTCAGCAAATTGTTAATCCATATCCATGTCTTACCGTTGATCACATTGACATTAGTTTGTAAAGGATTCTTTTGTATGGTTCATTATGTTTTATGGAATCCACTGTGAATGTGGGATATTAGCTCTTCCAAACTCATCCTCATGAAGGGTTGAGGGAGGGGAAAGATGACCAAAAGGTCAAAGAGGAAGGTCTTGAGGTGGACCAGCAAGCAGGTGAGGGAAGGGGCAAATCATAGGGATTCAAGGATGAAGTTCCAGAGTGGCGGCAGATATACTAAATGCACAACCTCTGATGGTGAGGACATGGAAGTAAGTCGGTGCCCGCTGAGGGGAGGGAGGGTTTGAGGAGATCGCAAAGGTAGGGTGGGGTGAGACCATGAAGGTCGGGTTACTAGATCTTTGGTTATCGATTGTGCAATTTTTCTTGAAGATGGGAAATGTATAAACAAATGAGTGAAAGGGTATGTTCACCATCCCGTATCTTTCTTCTGATCTACGTTTGCCTGTTTCCAACCTGTTGGAACTTCTTCCTCAGTCCTCAATAGCTCTTCAAAATATTTGTCAATGCTTCATAAATATCATCACTCATTGTTCTCAGTATCCTAGACTGTATTTCATCAATTCTTGAGATTTATTGGTTTCAAGCGCTTTAGGCCTACCTAAAACTTTTGAATCTGAGGTCTCATTTTTCCCCTCAAGTTAATGATTATATTTTTGCTAACTCACTTTCTTTGGACCCTCAAGCTTAGTAGCCACTCCAAGCCTGTTCTCAATGACTTCATCAGTAGTTTGTTTAAATCTTTGTTTTACAATAAACAATGGAAATACAAAACACTCAAGAAACAACGATGTAATAGGAAATAATGAAACAATTAAGAATCTGTTGTTCAGTTGTATGTTTCCTAAAAATTAATTTAGTTAGTACAAATAGCAGCTAAGAACTATTAAACACAGAGTACTATAGAGCCTTCATAAGTAGCTTTAAATAATTCACCAACTGCTATTCAATACTTGCATCAATTAAACTTTCATTACTTTTAAAAGCTCTCTATTACATCTTTACGTAGCCTTGTTTACCTTTAATAGCTGAAAATTCCACCTTAGAGGAATTTGATCAACTCTACAGTTGCAATCCACCCTCTCATCATCCACAATGCTCACTCAATGTTCACATACCAATAAATTAGATGTTTTAGTTAATCCTCAACATGAAAAGCTATTTTTTTCATACCTTTAGCTTTCAAGCTAGTCTTTAGTATTTAGTACATTTTAACCTCCTTCTTGAAACCTTATCCAGACCAAAGGTTTCCAGTATTGAGTGCTGGTGTCAGGAATCCATCTCAGGGAACAAACTACAGTACATTTCTTCCATGCTATTAAAATTAAGATTTGATACATTCAGAAACATTGTTTGTTCCAACTTTCAATGGATACTGTATTCTTAGCATTTTATTATAGGTTTTCAGAGATCTCAGGCCATTTAAATATAGGGAAAGTGGCTCCAATTTCAGAGAACCCTCCAACCCGAAAATTGAAAGGGATCACTGCTACCTACTACATAAACATGCCATATGGTTGGGATACGGCTAGGAAGTTTTGAGATACATCCAACCTTTAATCATTATGCCATTCATTTTTATAGAGACCTGAAAGGACTCTCTATTAAGCAGCCTATTTCCATCTGTCTGTGTCACTGTTACTGTAATTAGAGTAGACGGCAGGCAAAGTTTAAAATTACTGTCCCAGTGGAAGTTACATCCACGCTCTTAGTAAATGATATTCCATGAAAAAAAAACTTGACAATTCAACTTTCTCAGCAAACACATTCGTTAAAATGAATATGACAGACTGCAGACTTTTGTGTATATTTATGTCACCTTTTATAAGGCGTGTACTTTTGACGGTGTTACAAAGAACTTGCATCCAGTAGTTTCATTAAATCCAACTGAGTTTCAAATTGAAAATTGCACTAAATTTTTTAGCATACCCTTGGGGACAGTTACATTGCACTTTTATGTGCTGTATATATTATACATGTGTGTATATAAATGAGCATTAAAGGTGCACATTTTAAAATTCTAGTTTTCAGTGTTTCTCTTCATTACAATGCATCAATAATTATCCCAACATCTGACCATTATTAGTTTATTTGACCAATTTTATCTGGGAGATTGTTGGCCAGAACACTGGGAGAAACTCCCTTCTTTTTTTGAGTAGTGCCATAGGATTCTCAACGTTCACCTGAACAGGCAGACAAGACCTCAGTTTAATACCTCATCTGAAGTACGGCATCTGCAGTACACCATGATCAAATGAACCCAAATGAAATAATGATGCCATTATGTGTATGTAAGAAAATTATATGTAGGGCTTCTGTTTTTTGGGAATGTAAATTTTTATTTTTAGTTGATTTCGCATTTTTTGGAGTTCTAAAAATCGGGGGTTTTCACTTTTAATGGAAGATTCAGACCCGCATGCGTAAACTGAAGGGAGAGGTGCCCTCATGCATATGCACTGCCTCCCTCTCACGTTTCTGAGGCACTGCACGAGTGAGGGTTCCACACACAGCTGCGGACACCGAGGGGAGACAGGCACCCTCATGCATGCGCACAGAGAGGGAGAAAAAAGAGTAACACACGAAAAGTTAGTGAAGGGACATGTAACCATTTAGGTTGTTTTTCCAATTTTTTTGTATCGGAGGTGTTTTATCAGGGGTTTCGGTTGAAACCAAAAATCAGAAGCCCTAATTATGTGTCAATTCAATTTTAATCACATTTTGGTGTTTAGCTGGTTGAGTTTGAGCTAGTAGTTTACAATTGCATCCAAATCTTTTTTAAAATACCTCAAAATCACTTGTAATATCCATTATAGAATCCATTTTATAAATAATTATGAAAATGTAACTAAGCATGATTTCAGACAACAATTTACAATTGTGATTTAACACATGTACAGAAGATGACAATGTTGAGGATTCACACTATACATTTGGCTTCAGCAGAGATAGATTTTGGTGCCATGACATGTTCAATGGAATTTATTTTTTATCAACAATATTAAGTACAATGTAGTTATTTATTATAAATAATAATATATTTGATACAGCATCTTTCATGTTGAGGGACCTCTGAAAGAGCTTCACATACTATAAAGTGTAATTACTGAGAACACAACTTAAACAAAAAAGAGTTCACTCTTGAATCTTGACAGGTGTTATGTTAGCATGGTTAAAAAAAAGGTGGTTCCAGTTTATTGAGTTTTAGGTAAATTTGCATTTATCACTTATTTTTAGGCAACTATATCATACCTTAGAGGTGCAGTTGGATAAATTACACGTATGTGAGGAAAGATCAAATCTTTGCTCAGAACATCTTTGACCCAAGCTCTTATGCCTTGACCAGTATCACCTACATGAAAGGAAGGAAAGTGTCACGAGAGTGTAGGGTTGTGTTCGTCTTATAAAACAATGATCTTCATTGCCAGCAAGGGTGAAGAGCCAGAAAAGCCACATGTCGGTTTCTACCTAGCAGCATTGTTAGAAGTAATTATTGTATTTTTAATGAGATTTACACTGTTGGATTGAGTAAATGTTAAGGTATTTTTGCTTTTGTTTGCAAACACATTTTTCAAAAAGGTAGTGACCCTTTTAAACATTAAAAATATATATTTATTAGAACATTGTGATGATGATGGTGGTGGGATAATAAATGTTTTTTTGACAGTGATGAGTTCACAGTCTAAAATGGAATATCTGGTAATGAGTGGAAGTTGTTTGTTTGTCTATAGGAAAGAAATTGAAGGGTGAGGTGATTTGTGCTACATAATAATCTTTGCATTTGATAGAATGCCTTATCACGTCTTCAAGATGTTTCAAAGCGCTTCACATAAAGTGAATTGACTGTATATTTTGCGGGCGAAACGTCCACAAAATAAATAAATGTAATTGTAATGAATTATTATTTTACTATCACTCACTCCCTGTATCAAACACGAGGATTGTTACTTTTATATAACATTTGAAACCTTGTTGTCAGTTGTTAGCTATGAAATATTGCCTCTTTTTATATACGAGTCCTGTAGCTCAGTGGTTAGACCACTCGCCTCGCAAGCGAGACCTGGGATCAATTCTGGCAGAGTGAAACGTTGGGCAAGTTTCCTTACTCCACACACCTCTGTTTAATTTTTTGAAAAATGTGTTTTTTTTTTCCTCCAGCCCCCCCACTGTCTCGTGCGGTGTCCCTCAGGGCTCTGTCCTCAGTCCCCTCCTCTTCACCCTCTATATGCTCCTCCTTGGTGACATCATCCGCAGACATGGGGTTAACTTTCACATGTATGTGGATGACACCCAACTCTACCTTTCCTCCTCTACCCTCAACTCCACGACCACCGATGTCCTGACAGCTGCCTGTCCGACATCAAGTCCTGGACGAGAGACAACTTTCTTCAGCTCAACGTGCGTAAAACTGAGGCCCTCCTGATTGCCTCACGTCAGCGCCTCCGCACCTCAGGCGCTGACAGCATCAGCATCCAAGGCTGCACTCTCCACCTCTCAAAGCAGTCAGGAACCTCGGGGTTCTGTTCGACCCTGAGCTGTCCTTTCTCCCTCATATCCGCGCCACAACTGGCACCGCCTTCCATCACCTCCGGAATATCGCCAGACTACGGCACTACCTCACCCCTCACGCTGCTGAAACTCTGGTCCACGCCTTTATCACCTCAAGGCTGGACTATGGGAACTCTCTCCTCGCCGGCCTTCCTGGCACCTCCCTCCACAAGCTGCAGGTCATTCAGAACTCTGCAGCTCGTGTACTGTCCCGCACCAGGCTTCGGGACCACATCACTCCCACCCTCGCTCGCCTCCACTGGCTCCCCATCCCCCAGAGGATCGAATTCAAGATCCTCATCCTCACCTACAAGGCCATTCACGGCCTCGCTCCCTCCTACCTCTCCGACCTACTATCCCCCTACTTACCTGCCCGTACCCTCCGTTCCTCTGGCTCCGGTCTGCTCCACATCCCCCGCCCCAACCGCCCTACCATCGGTGGCCGGGCCTTCAGCCTCTCAGCCCCTGGGCTCTGGAACTCTATCCCCCAGTGCCTTCGCCGCTTCCTCCCTTTCCTCCTTCAAGGCCGGTCTCAAGACCTTTCTCTTTGACCGAGCCTTCAGCTCCCCTCTCGACTCTCTACCCCCTCCTCGCTCCCTCCCTTCCCTCCCCTCACCCTGACCATTTCCCCCCTGCTCGGGTCCTGACCCAACTGTACAGCGCCTTGGGACGTCCTCCCGACGTGAAAGGCGCTCTATAAATGGAATCTTGTTGTTGTTGTATTGAGCAGTAACAACAACAAGATTCCATTTATTGAGCGCCTTTCACGTCAGGAGGACGTCCCAAGGCGCTGTACAGTTGGGTCAGGACCCGAGCAGGGGGGAAATGGTCAGGGTGAGGGGAGGGAAGGGAGGGAGCGAGGAGGGGGAAATGGTCAGGTGAGGGGAGGGAAGGGAGGGAGCGAGGAGGGGGTAGAGAGTCGAGAGGGGAGCTGAAGGCTCGGTCAAAGAGAAAGGTCTTGAGACCGGCCTTGAAGGAGGAAAGGGAGGAAGCGGCGAAGGCACTGGGGATGGAGTTCCAGAGCCTCGGGACTGAGAGGCTGAAGGCCCGGCCACCGATGGTAGGGCGGTTGGGGCGGGGGATGTGGAGCAGACCGGAGCCAGAGGAACGGACGGTATGGGCAGGTAAGTAGGGGGATAGCAGGTCGGAGAGGTAGGAGAGAGCGAGGCCGTGAATGGCCTTGTAGGTGAGGATGAGGATCGTGAATTCGATCCTCTGGGGGATGGGGAGCCAGTGGAGGCGAGCGAGGGTGGGAGTGATGTGGTCACAGTAAGTAGGAACTCTGTTGTCAGTTGACTGGTGGATCGCTTTTCCACGCATAATAATTCCTTCAAAAAAAATAATAAATTGGTCAAATCAATGCACGACTGTTGGTGCGCAATCGGCTCCCGTGTTTCTCCCTCAAAATACACAGTCAATTCACTTTACAGTATATTCTGTGAAGCGCTTTGAGAAGTGATCAGCGCTATAGCAATTACAAGCATTATTATTATTATTTACAGTGGTTAATGGTTTGCTCAGCCCTTGGCCCCTCCCCCCCCCCCCCACACACACACACACACACTGACAACTCTCACAGTCCACGACCAATAAATACACCCGCTTCTTTGTGCTCGTGACCAGCCGCGAAACCTTGACCTGAGCCGTGGAGGAAGATGATGGACGCCGTGTGTCTCCCGGTCTGAGGCACAACCAAGCGCTGCAATTGCGAGAGGGCGGCCATTGCTGTTCTGGATGTTTCCGGCAACGGCCGCGAGGAGCAAAGCCGCGAGGAGCGAAGTGCGCAGGCGCGAGCAATGGGGCTGCGCACGACGTTGCCGTGTTGGGCGGGTTTGGGCGGGTTTTGTTGCTCTTTTGTGCGTGAAAATAAACGGCTTGGGAGCGGGTGCCTCATTTTGTGAAAATGTTTAATTTTTAAACCTGCAAAACATCCCCCCATCCACTCTCTGAAGACCTTTACTTGCACGGTTTCAAAAGCACTAACCTAAAATTGGTCACTCTGCTCTCCCATGGTATATTGGCTACTTTTGGGGGCTACTATTTAGTTGGCTTTGGGCTACAAACTGCACCTCACATAAGTCGTATAGGCAGTTGGGACCTGAAGGCTGATGCAAAGTATGGGTTGTGTGAAACTTATAAATAATAGGAAATTCAACGGGATTTGGGCAGATGCACGACTTGGGAGATTGTATGATTTATTGGAACGTCCTCCCGACTTGAAAGGCACTATACAAATGTAATATTGTTGTTGCTGCTGTTGTTCTACAGATCAGAATTATGCAAGTTTTACTGTATTTGCTCTACTGTACGACTGTTTGTGGGACACTGCTGTGCGCAATTGGCCGCCGCATTTGCCCACAAATATACAGTCAATTCACTTTACAGTGTGTTTTGTGAAGCACTTTGGGACGTTCTCCCGACGTGAAAAGCGCTATATCAAATGCAAGGATTATTATTATTATTATAAGGCGCTATATCAAATACAAGGATTATTATTATTATTTTAATTTTTGGCAAACCTTGGCAATGGAGGCTGAGCATTTGCCCACTACAGAGAGAGAGAGAATTGATTCACACACTCCACAAAAAACAGTCACTACACTAGGGTGTAACTACCTGCAAAGCCATTGTATATATTTTGGCGCTGTAGCTGCAATGACACGGCAATGAGGATTTTTTTTTGTAAATTCGTTATAGAGTTTACATTGCTCCGAGTTTACATTGCTCCGAAACTAAACATTGCATCACCGCCTCGTCCCCTACATCTCCCCTCCGTATGTTGAGACCCTTTGTCTCACTCCCTTTATCATCATGTCATGAGAGATGATGGTAATATTTAGGTATAAGCAAGCAATTTGGCTAGGACTGTGAGCACAGAACCAATTCAGTTTCATATCCTATACAAGTCTCAAGCGAGATGAAGCAAGCATTTCTCGATTAATTTCTTCAAAACAGATGAGTGGGAATGGGATTGAAAATTATAGGGATAAGTATAGACTAAAATGATTAAGCAATCCATGAAACACTAGTTTCTGTACTGCTAGGGGAATGAAGTGTGTGTGTGTTAGGAGGGAGAGAGGGGGAGTGGGGAGTGTTTTGTGTTGAGGGCAGCTGAATAGCATTAAATGGTGGTGATGGATAGAGTGTCTGTAGTTTTCCTTTATTATTATTAGATGCTAAGAAGGAATTATGAAGAACGTTCCCTCAGGAGACTTTTGTGGAGTAATATGGTGGGGCTTTTATGTTTGTAAATGAAAACTCACCTTAGACTCTGATGGACACTACTATCCAAACTCTTATCTGGTTGACATATTCATATATATAATTTTCAATCATAATTACTTTATTCCTTTATTAAGTTCTATTGATTACCCCTCCCCCGCTCAGAACATTTTTTTCTGCCCTTCATAAAACTCTTTGTTGAAGTCTTTCTTCGCATGATATTGCCTTTTTTTCCACCTAACTACAAATGTATCCATTTCTTGAGCAATCAAATATAACTTTGATGAAGAACCTCAGAAAATATTTTATGCTACATTTGTTTTTTGTGAAAATGACAGGTGATGTAGTTCTGTATGTCTGCAGTACTTTTTATGGCTGTTGGCAGGTGGATGATGAAAATCTAGGTTTCTCCAAGCAGCCAAGTTTAATTTGGCCACTTTCTGCATATCCATAATAGCTTGCACAGTATTGGTGTGTCATCCTAGACTAAATTACTTGCTCCAGGACAGAGATATAGTGTCTTATCATATTGGCATGGTGTCTCAAAGCACTTCACAGAATATACTGTAAAGTGGATTGACTGAATTTGTGGGTGAAAAATAGCAGCCAGTTGCACACAGCAATGTCCCACAAACAGCCATGGAGTGTATGACCAATTTTATTTTGGGGAACCAAGAGAAATTCCCTTTGCTTTTTGAGTAGTGCCATGGGATCTTTAACGTCTGCCTGAAGGCAGACAGCACCTCGTCTTAATGTCTCATCCAAACGCAGAAGCTCCAGCGTTGCAACACACCCATAGCACCACTTTGGAGCGTCAGGTTAGACTGTGATTCCAAGCCCTGATTTTGGGGCTTGAACCCCCAACCTTCAGACTCAGAGATAAATGTACTATCACTGAGCCAGACAGAGACATACTTAGGTTCATTTAAGAGCTGAATGATCTTTTTTCATCATCCAGAGGGATATATTTAGTTTAGGTCAATATTGAGTTACACACATAATAGATTTGAGACCCAATAGATAAGTCAACAATACCCAACTTTAGTGTACCATTTTACACATTTTTAGTGAGTAGATGTGGAGTCTTAGTGGGATAACTTTTTTATTATTATTAATAATAATAATCCTTGCATTTGATATGGCACTTTATTATGCATTGAGATGTCTCAAAGTGCTTCACAGAATATACTGTAAAGTGAATTGACTATATTTTTGTGGGAGAAATGAAAAGTATTTTATTAATACTTGTTCCATATTTTCCATCTTTTTCTTTCCTGTCATTTCTATTGTAATATTTTCCTTTCCCTCGTCTACTTCCAAACTGCTGCAGAATTCAGGCACTGTTTCCAGTTCCCTATTAAGTTAGAAGCAGTGCTTTTTTGTAAAACACTTTCTCCAAAAATAACACATAATTTTCAACATATTTTAACCTTTCTAATTAAGTCTTTTTGAAATGCTTTAGATGTTTGTTTTGAATAGCCAGTATTGAAAGGTTTTTGAATAGTTGACTTACTCTTGGCATTCTTATCCCTCGGAGTTCAAATCTTTAGTGAAAGAGCGGAAAATGGTTAATTAACTTGTTAGTACTTTGTTTGTAACATTCTGGAAGACCTCTGGCAAAATTGCAGGGCGTCTCCATCAATTATTTTTACACCATCCCTTCCTCTCCTGAAGCTGTTGATTTCTTCCTGGGGTACAGTCCCACAGAGCTTGAATGGGACATCTTGCCGAGGTGACCATTCTTCCTAGGTAAGCATTAACAGTTAGCGTTGGCAGGCTATTCAACCTCAGGGACATTACAGCCCTGTACAATATTGCCCTCATTTTAGATCCACAACTAGGGAAGTGTATTGGGGGAAATCGCTGAATCCTAGTAAATAGAAGTGGAATTTCTGGTTGATTTTTCCCATCCTAATCTGAAGAGTGCTAAAACCAATTGTAGCACATATAATGTCAGCTAATTCAGGTCAGAAAATGAATTGATATTTCTGTTCCATTGATTGCTGATAATAAATGGCAATGTAATTTCCTCTGTACATAAATTTACATGTAAATTTACATTCTTATTACATGCTTAATAAGAAAACGGGAATAGAATACCATCAACTGACCAGGTTCCAGGATAACTGACCTCATTCTAATTGTCATTCTAATTTGCAATTTATTATTTTCTGAATTATTGCTAACATGTCCTTGCCAGTAAAGCTTGCTAGCACACTTTTACAGTTTCAACTTTCCTGAATTAAAATGTACGTCCTATTGCGCTATTGTTTGTTCTTTTTCTGTAGTGCCATTCTTTAATTTATCCAGTTGCTTCCACATCTGGTCCTCAGAGTGTCGCAGACTATATTGATGTTTTCTGTCATATTTCACTTCATGGCTGTTTGTGGGACATTCTTATGTACCAATTGGCTGCTATGTTTGCCCACAAATACAGTAACTCCACTTCACAGTAAATCCTGTGAAGAGCTTTGGGACGTCTTCCTGACTTAAAAGGCGGAACACCAAATGCAAGGATTGTTAATTATTATTAGTATAACATGTTGTTTTGTATTTGTGGGGCCTCCTTTGTATGTTGGTGTGGCATACCTCTGCCCTACTAACAATGCCAGTTTATTATCCATTAATGTGCTCTGGCCCATGTCTAGAAATTAGTTTTCTCAAATTTGCCACCTTAGACATTTACTTCAAACTCCATAATGCAAAGCTGTGTTCATAGACGTTTTGAATTTTACTGGACTCAATTGGCTCATTAGTTGGTTTTGAAGCATTAACTACTCATTATTGTAGGTGTGTTGTCATTGACTGCTGTGTTTTCATTAATGTTAATGAAATTGTGTTTCACACAAACAGTATTCTGAACATTCTGTAGTCTCAATAGCATGCAAACAATCAGTAAACATGCTATATTCTCAATTTCTATGAAAAGATAAATGTTGAGTCCCACTGATTTTGTTTTTTTAAGAACATAACTATAGTGCAATTATTTAACCATGTCTCAGACGTATCGGAGAGTTGCCAAACTACTTGGGTGTGAACATTTTGTTGGACAAATTTTCTGGCTTTAACTTCTGAGGAAACGCTTGAGAATCTAGTTGGTTCTGTGGTGGGTCTTGGCTGAATACATTTTTGTTTGAAAAGATCATCTTAAAACTGTATTTTTGGCTTTTATGTTATGCCAGTGTAGAAAATGCCACCAACAAAATAGTCGAAAATGCAGTCACTGACAGCACTTTTCCATATTTTTAATACAGTTTAAGTACATACAACACATCAGTGTGATTTGTTTTACACTCTCTCTGCTACTGCCGTTCTGGAAAATTATTCATCAGTAAGATGTCACGGAGAGTTTTATTGTTGCAGCAGCTTTAATGTGGGTTCTCAAACATCTTGTCTTTTTCTGGTGCACAGATTTTTTCCTCAACCCTGAGGGCTTACATAAATGAAAAAAAATCATTTTTTTCAATGTGCTGAAAGCTATAAACTAAGCAGAACCACATAAATTGGTCATTAAAAATTATTGAAATGTGATA